ATTTTAATTTTTTTTTTTTCTCTCATTCGTTATTCGCGTAAATATTATAAAGATTAGTGACTGACGTTTTATTATTATTATTATTATTATTATTATTATTATTTTATTCGTCGTTGTCGTCGTCGTCGTGTATTTTTATTTTTCCGGGGGGAAATTTTTCGCGGGTGATAAAATGAATCGTTTTCGTCGTGATTTTTTTTATTTATTTTTTATTTTTATTTATTCGCGCGTTTTTTATTCCTCCTAAATCGTTCGGACGTAAATATATATATTATTTATTATTATTATTATTATTATTATTATTATTATTATTATTATTATTATTATTATTATTCGCGTTATTCGTTATTTAGTCGTCGTCGTCGTCGTTTACGTTTATTTTTTTCGCTGTATGTTTAATGTAGTTAGATAAATAATAATAATAATTAATTTTTTTTTTTTTTTTTTTTTTTTTTCCTTTTGACGTTTGTTCGTTTGTTTAAGCTTAGGGAGAATGTTTTAGAATGATTTTATTATTATTATTATTATTATTATTATTATTAGAAAAATTCAGAATAATGCCATGTTTTTAATAATTTGTTTTAGGGAAAATTATTTAAAAAATAAAATAATTTTAATTGTAAGAAAAAAAAAAAGAAAATTTTTTTTTTTTTTTGCTCTCCCAAAGCTTGGAAACACAAATCCAAGATGGCGACAAACGTGGGGAAAAACAAAACAAAAGGAGCAAAAGAAAATTTTAAAAAATTTTCTTTTTTTTTTTTTTTTTTAAATATTTAAAAATTTGTATGAGAAAGAAACGAATGTCGGCATTAACGAGTTTTTTTTTTTTTTTTTAGTAGCATTAGTTACCACCGTTTTTAATTTGATTATTATCAATCGATTGCTTTTAGGTACGATATCGAACCTGAATTAATTTTCATTCATTCTCTACGTTTGTGCCGTTAAAAGTTAAAATCGTTTTTTTTTTTTTTCAATGTTTAAAAACTTGTGATCGTTTTTCCTTTGTGCGTGTGTGTGTGTATGTTTTTATTAAGCCTATTCCAAAAAATCGCAACAGCATTGCTTGCTAGAGAGAGAGAGAGAGTAAGGTACAGGCACACGTTTGCTTTAAATTTGTTTTTGCTACTATTGGCTACTACACGTGGGCCGATTTCTTAAAATGTATTTAATGTCACTTATCGCAAACAAATTTATGTAAACGTGTGTGTATGTGGGTACGGGCGTGTGCGTGTGCGTGTTTATACTTTTGGTATTACAATGTTTAAGCGTGGAAAATTTTCAAATGGGGGTCCTAGGGGGGAAAAATCGTCAGTTGCGTATACATCTCGGTATTAGTAACGTTAGGATTTCTCAGGGAGGTTTTTTCGTTTTTTTGCTTTTAAATGTCAATACGTGGATTTTTCTGGGGAGGGGAGGGGAGGGGAAAAGTAAATAAATAGAGAGGAAAACAATTATTTATCGATTGACGATTATTATTAAATTTAAAAATTAAATTAAATTAAATTGAAATTGTTTTTTTTTTTTTTATGTTAAAAAAAATACGAGAGAGAGAGAGAGAGCAAGCAAGGGATGTTGCATTAATGTGTTTCTATTATTATTATTATTATTATTATTATTATAGTTTGTTGTGACGAAAGCACAACACGTTGATCCCATCCTTATCCAGACGTCAGAAGTCTTCAACTGCCATTTATTTATTTATTAATTAATTTTTTTTTTTATCAATATCAATATCATTATTATTATTATTATTATTATTATCATTATCACGATTTAAGTTTTTTTTTTTTTTTTTTGTTCCGTATCGTTAGAATTGTATTAGTTAGGTATTATAATTAGTTTAAGAGAGTGAGTCTTTCAAAATTTTCATTTACATATGTGCGTATATGCACGCACGCACGCACACACATAAACATTGTAAAAACTCGTGTGTGCGAGCGTGTGCATGTACATATATATATATATATACGAATAGACGAAAATGATAATAATAATGAAAATGATGATGATGATGACACGCATGTCACGCATTATTGTTATGATTATTATTATTACTACTACTACTACTACTATTAACTATTATTAATTAATTAATTAATTGATTCATACCATATCATTGGTGTCCTTTTCGGTAGTCGAAGCCACTTAACAGGTGTTACACACATCGTCCGAAGTGGATGTAGAGAGTTTACATTGTCACACACGTGCACGCGCACGCACGTATATATACGCGTGCGTGCATGCGCGTGTGCGTATGTTCACATGTCACGTTAATTATAGTAATAATTTTTTTTTTTTTTTTTTTTAATCATTAATAATAATTATTATTGTTTATTATAATTTGTTCTATTCAAGTAACTGAAAGTCGTCTTATCATTATCATTATTATTATTAATTAAGGTCGTAAAATTATTATTATTATTATTTTGTTTTGTGATGTAAATGATATTTTCAGGGAAATAAATTTAAATCGGTATTCGTGTATACTTTATACTTTTTTTTAATTTTAAATTTTTTAATTAATTGATATATAATTGAAAATAAATGAAAAAGAGAGAGATATAGAAAACGATTAATTATTATTATTATTATTAGTAAATTTGCAGGAAATGATGATGATGATGATGATGATGATTGTATTTTTTTTTTTTTTTTTTTAAGGGCGACTTGAGTTACCTTTTTTTTTTTTTGTAATTGTGACTGGTAGAAATTTTGTTTTTTTTTTTTTGTTTAAATAAAATAAAATAATTAATTAATTATAGAATAAAAATATTTTGTTTTCGTAATACAACCTGATAAAAGTGATAATAATTGATAAGAAAAAAAAAATTTTGTGATAAGGGAAAATTTATTTTTCCTATGGAAAAATGTATTTGATTTTCTTTTTTTTTTTGTCGGAAAATTTTTATTATTATTTTTTTTTTTTTGTTTGTCGTTTATTGTATGTAAAATAGAAAATTTATATGAATGAAAAAAAAAAGGATGGAGAGAGATAGAGATAGAGAGAGAGAGAGAGAGTAATTAATTAAATAACCGGGAAAACGGTTAGTTTAAAAAAAAAAAAAGGAAGAAAAGAAAAGAATTATTCCAATCACAGGAAGTAAATATGGGTTCATAATGTTTTTTTCTTTCACAGTGGGAGGAGGAAGGGGAGGAAGAGGAAGAAGAGGAGGTGGAAGTGGAGGAGGAGGAGGAAAAGGAGGAACACGAAAAATTTTAATTTAATGAAGAAACAACATCTCCGCAAAAATTAGAATTTCAAATTGCGGGTTTTAAAAGTAAATCATTTGTAACGAAACGATCGTATTAATACGATTTAACTTGATTACTGTCGTTTAATATGATTAAGAGGCTTGTGCTTTGAAACCCTTGCATGTTTAAAAGCTCGCAAACAATCTATTACCCTCTCCTTTTTTACGTTTTATTCCTCCTTTTTCTATCTCTCTCTCTCTCTCTCTTCATCCTTCTTACAGAATCCACACCCTAACTTGGAGATGACTCCGCCGTTTTTCCTTCCCGGTCGGTTGGTCGGCCGTTCGGTCTTCCTTCGAATTTATTGCAGCCTTTCATAATTCTCTTAACAAAATTTTTCTTTTTTTTTTAACTGTAATATTTTGTGTAAATGGAAGTTGGGACGACTTTTCCAAGGGTTAGGGAAACTCGTTCGAGTTAAAGTTTGGTGTGGGGGGTGGAGGGTAAAGGGGGGAAAACGGGAAAATGGGAAAATAAATAATAAAAAAAATGATAAAAATTACTTTTTTTATTCTGTCCGGTTGTTGTTCTTGTTTGTTTGTTTTGTTTTTAATTAATACGTATATCGATCGATTATTAATTTTTAGCGTTTGTTTTATACAAAATGGAAAATTTTAAACGTCGCCATATTTTTTTTTTACTAAATTAAAATAATCCATCGTAGAGATTTTTTTTTTAAATAATAAACCAATAAAAACTAATCTGAAAACCGAATGACGTTTTTTTTTTTTAAAAATATCAACAAGAGTTTTATAAAAAAAAAAAGAGCAGAAGAAATAACAAAAACAACAAACACAAAAGTTTTTATTTATTTATTAAGTTAAATACGAATGAAAAAAAAAAAACGAGGGAGGAAAAAAAAAAAGTTTTGTGATAACTAATTTAATTACGATTTTATATACTAACGAGATTTGACATGGCGATTACAATATCCCCAATAAAAGATGACCGATGGTTTCCTTATATTTTCAATGTATCAAATTTAATTTGTTAAAATGTCTTCTTTTTCTTACTTTTATTTTTTTTATCAAAAATTTTATTTTAATTTTCGTATATTTAATATTTTCTTCCTTTTTTTTTTTTTTTTTTTAGTTTAACGTAAAAAGAAAAATTTTTCAATTTAAAATACATATTGAGAGTTCAAACGTAATCAAGTTTAAACGTTTGATTAACCTCTGCCTTTGGGATTCATACTGGAAAACTTTCTTTTTTTTTTTTTTTTAACGGGACTTTAATTCAATCTTATATAATGCAAAATTCATGGAACACATAATCCTGTCTCCGGGTGATATATTGGCTGCCCACAGATTACACTTCTCGACGTTCCCCATTCACATTTTCCTCTCTCTCTCTCTTTTGTACTTGAACCCCGACAACGTTTGTTTCCTTTACACAACAAACGGTCGAAATGTATTATTCATAATACAAAAAAAAAAAACATATACGCGTTTGTCGATAGGATTATTATTATTATTATCGTATTAATAACGCGGCGTGATTGATTATTAACAATAAGAAAATTTATTATATTGCTTTATTGTATTACACACGGTGGTGGTGGTGGTTGTGGTGATGGTGGTGGCGGTAATGGCCACGATTATTTTTTTTTTTTGTTCACCTATATAAAAACAAAAGGTAACGGAATTTACAGTCTCTCACTAATGTTACAAAAAAAAAAAAAAAAAAGAATCACAGAGTGGAATGAAAACAAAAAAAAAAAATGTCGTTAATTTTTTTCAAAAATTATTTCAAATTTTTTCCGTTGACATTTTTAATGCTTCTGCATGTTTTTTAGCTTTAAATCTTAAATCGGCTATGCTGCTATTTTTTGAATAAAGACGATCCTGATGAACGGCCGCAAGAGCAGCAAGTCCTAATGGATATTGTGGGCAAAAAACTAATGGAGAAGAACTCGAAGAAAAAGCAGCCGCTGCCGCCGCGTACTGGAAAAAAAAATGATGATGATAATGATGATGATGATAATCGGACGCTTTTTTTTGTAAGTAAAAATTTTTTTTTTAACTTCGTACCTGTTGCGCTGCTGCCGAAAACAAGGCCGGATCGAATGTCGAAAATCCTGATAATGATTGCATTTGATTATATGATGACGTCAATCGAATGGATGGAACATTTACGTAAGGTGCCACACGACAGGGTTCTAATGTTGTCGACACTGTCGCCGGTGTATGACTTGATACTATCATTCCTGCTGCTATTTAAAATTATCAAAAAAAAAAAAAAAAAAACAGAAAAAAAATCATGGGAAAAGAGTGTGAGAAGTTTAAAAATAAATAATTAAAAACAATTTATAAACAAAATTTAATAAATATACGAATTAATATAATTAAAATTTCATTTATTAAAGTTAATAAATCAAATTTCAAACAGTAATTAATTTATTCGAAAATAAAAAAGAATTATTATTATTATTAATTAAAAAATGAAAAAAAAAAAAAAACGAAATTGTGAAAAAAATTTTCTAATATAAAAAGTGACAAAATCTCTTTTTCCTCCATCTTGAAAATAAATAAAAATAAAACTTTTTCACTCCCTTCCCCCCCCCCATTATTTTATTATAAATAGTTTTAAAAACTTTTTATTTATATAAGTATTAATTAATTATCTCACGGTAACGGATATCCGGTTCGGTTTAAATAACTTTATTTATTAATTCGAAAACTTTATTTAAAAGTAGATAATTGTTTATTTACAAACGTAAACAATAAACAAGCGCGCGCAAATTTTATGTTTGCGACAAACGCGACAAACGCGCGACGTGAAAACAAAAAAAGCGGGAAAATAAATAAATAAATGTCACGTGATTTTATTACACGATATAAATGTATTAGTGAAAACGTCAAGTGGAAATCGGTGAATCGTTCGTTGGAAAAAATGAAAATTTTTATATAAAAATTTATGGAAAGGGAAAGAGTAATCGGAAAAGCGTTTAGGGAAAACGACGGGGAACCGTTGGTGATTGGGGAGGGGAGTGGGGGGGAGTGAAAAAACGAAAAAAAACTCACCTTTTTGCATTTGACTCTCATGTTTTCGACATTTTGCTCTACGATTTTGAAACCACACCTGAAAATCAAAAAAAAAAAAAAAAATGAAACAAAAGGAAATTTATATATATATATATATATATATATATATGTGAGTATATATATTTTATTCGTAATTGTGAAAGTGTAATTCAATTAGGTGACGGATGAAAGCGGATTTATAATTTATTTGTTAAATTAATAACAAACTCTGCTGGATGTTGTTTTAAAATTTTAATTTACAACAAACGTTTGCCTTGTCACTCGTACGAGGGATGGAAAATCAAGGGTTTTCTGCTTCTTTTGCGGTTTAAAAGTCAGCCCTTATTTAATAATAAAAAAAAAAAAAATTTTTTTTTATTTCGGTCGAGCGCGGTTTGACCTTTTTTTTTGTTTTCTTTTATAACTAACGGTCGCGTTTTAAAATTTTTTTTTTATGTAAAAAAAAAATTTTAATTGATTTAAAACGTAAATTTATTTCTTATTCGAATTAGTGAAAAGAAAGGAAAAAATTTTCTTCAATACCATTTGTTTCCTCGTTTTGTAATTACGTTAAAAATAATAATGATAATATTATTTTTATCTTTCGAATTGTGGCAATAAAAGAAAAACGTTTTTCACATTATACCGGGGGGGGAGGTTTTTTCGAAAGAAAACGTTCGTTCGAACTTTCTATTAAAAAAAAATTATATTAGGGACCTGGAAATTGAAGATAATGACCCATTTGTTCGATTAAAGAAAATGATAATGGTCCGTTATTCCCTTTTCTCTCAATATAAAGTAAATGGCATTTAACTATTTGTATTTATTTCACATTTTCTTTTTGTTTTTATTTTGGTTTTCTTTTTTTTCTTTTTTTTTTTTTAAATTTAATGGTTACCTGTACTCTTGCTTCGCTAAGTCCTAATCTTTGACTGAGTTCTTCTCTCATGAAAGCATCAGGATAATGAGTTTCGTCGAACAATCTTTCCAATTCGTTTAATTGTTCCAATGTAAAATTCGTACGACTTCTCCTTTGTTTATTTTGTAATTTAGACGATGAATGAGAATTCGTTTGTATTCCAATAATATGTCCATCTTCTCCATCTTGTTTCGTTATATCTAAATCTACGAAAAAAAAACAAAAAAAAAAAATTTAAAATAAACGCGAACATGCACTCCCAAACACACACGAAGGATAAAATGTAAAAATTAATTTTTTTTTTTTTTCATAAAATTTTTCTCCACGTTTTTTTTTTTTTTTTTTTTTTGGTTTTTCTTTCCCCCCTCCGTTTTGTTTCGAACCCCCCACTACAATTTTTTTTTCCCTTCATAATGAAATAAAATAATAAAAAGACGAGACGGAGGAGAGAAGGGGGGAGGGGGAGGGGGAAAAACTGATGAGATTTCAAGTGCAGCTAATCATTTTTCCAAGCAGTTTCCTAGAGAGATATATTTTTTTTTTTTATAGACGTGGTTCTTCTTCTTTTTCTTTTTTTTTATTCTCATTACTTATTTTCATGAAAATATAAAAAAAAATAAAAAGGATAGAAAAAAAAAAGAGAGAGAGAGAGAGAGAAAAATTCAATTTCAAAGCAGTAAAAGAGCAATATAACGTTTTGCATTTTACATTATGTATATATATTATTCAGAGATGTAGAAAACCATAAAAACCACAATTTCTTTAAATAATTAACTTACTACTATGCTTTTACACTACAAGATTTTTTTTTTTTTTTTTTCGTTGTTGCCTACCCTGAAATGAAAATAAAAATAAAATTTTTAAATAAACGTTTATTTTAAATTTTATTTTTATTATTATTTTTTTGTTTATGTGAAAGTCTATTCATCATCAAATACTCAACTCATCGTCTAAATTTTTTTCCTTTTTCTTTCCTTTTTTCCTTTTTTTCCCCTTCCTTTTTTTTTCCTTTGTGAAAATAAAATTAAATTTCGTGTGAGTTTTTCTTTTTTTAAATTAAAATTTAATATTACCGTATTCGTCGTGTATTCGGAATTTTCATTTAAAATCCGTTTTCCTGTTAAATTTTCCAAAAAAAAAAAAAAAAAAAATTTTTTTGTGTAACTTGGCAACACTGTATATATTCTGTTACGTAATCATTTTCTTTCAAAATTCTCTCGCTTTCTCTTACTTTCTTTTCCAAAAAAAAAAAACATATATGTATGGATAATTTATTGCATTCGCCATTTTATTTACGCGATCCTTTATTTATTTATTTATTTATTTAGAAAAAGTTATTATTATTATGTTTAAGACATCACGATTATTTATGTTTTTATTTTAATATATATGGCGATGCTTCTTCTTAAAAAGAATATTCGAGAACAAAAGAAAAAAAAATTATAAAACGAGTCATTTATTTATATTTTGACAAAGAGTTAAAATTTTTATATATTATTATTTTCCTGGCCATTTTTTTTTTTTAATCGGAAAATCGAGTCGGAAAATTAAGAAAAATAAATAAAATTTACACTTTTTATTTAATTATCTTAGATGAAGGTAATAAATAATTTTAAAAAAACTAATTAATAAAAGGTTGTGTCACCTGTATCTCGTAATTAATTTTATTTTTTTTAAACAAAATAAATTAATAAAAAAAAGCCCGGGAGGGGGGGGACGGGGGACGAGGGTGGAAAGATTTAAAGAAATGGAAAAAAAAAGGATTTTTAAACCTTTTCTAAAATTTAATTTAATTAATTAACGAAATATTTTATTTAAAAAAAAAAAAAAATTAAGGGAGAGGAGTAATCAAAACGTTTGTTTTAGATTTTTTTTTTTAATGAACGCGCATAACGAATGTTGTTTGTACGTTTGTTGTTGTTAAGCTTTTCCTTTCCCTTTAACATATTCTCTAATTTAAGTTTAATTCGTTTGTTAGATTTTTATTGCTCTTACGTTTTGTTAAGGGTTGGTTGGAGGGAGGGTGCGAAATAATACATAAATGTTTCAATTTGTTTTTTTTTTTTTTTTTTTTTTTTTGATTGAGCTCAACGAACCGGATTGATTTTTTTTGACAATAATGTATTGCCACGCAAACGGGAGAGGTGTGGGGGGAGGGAGGGAGGGAAACAAATTTAATTTTTTTAATTTTACGAATCCCTCATCATTATTATTATTATTTTAATAAATTTATTTTTTCATCTTTTTTAATTGTTTTCGAAACAAATTTTCCGGGAAAAAAAAAAAAATCAATAATCGTGAATCATTAATAAAAATAACCGAACGAACGTTTTCAAAAATTATTATTATTATTAAACAAAAATAATAATAATAATAATAATATAATTTTTTTTTTAAAGTAACGTTTAATTAGTTAATGTTTAAACCGTTTTTTTTTTTTTTTCTTAACGGATGTAAAATAAATTTTAATTAAGTAATAACAGTAAAAAAAAAAAAAAAAAATGTAAGAAAAAATTCTAATTGGAAAAAATTAAAAAAAAAAAAAAAAAAAAAAAAAAAAAAAAAAGGAAAAGAAAAGGCGGTTAAGTAAATCTTAATCCACTGTAGGGTTCCATAATTCCTTCGAGAGAAATTAACACAGGGTGGCGTATTAATAAACTGAGGGGGAGGAGAGAGGAGTGGGGGGGTAGTAAAATCCTGTAAGAGTGCAGTAAAATGCCCTAATTTAATTCCATTACCTTAATGAAGATACAAAATAAATTCGTGAATATTAACTAGTAAAATATTTAAATTCCCTTTTTTTATACTTAATATCCATCAATCTCGACAACTTAAAAAAAAAGGAAGGAAGGAAAAAAATTGTTTAATTTAATGCCCTGTATTTGCATTGTAAATAATAATAATAATAATAAATGATTATGGATTGAATGCATTAAAAAAAAACGACGTAGGTTCACAAAAGATTTGATTTATTTATATTTATTTTATTAAAATTATTTAATGGGTGTGTGTGCGTGTGTGGATGTGTGTGTTGAAATTCGACGCCATTTTAATTTTACTTAAGGTTTTTCCGGGGAGTTTTTCTTGCGGATAAAAAAATGAATAATATTTTCAAATCGAGTTTTTTTGTATATTCCGTTCGATTTTTTGTTTTTTTAAATGTCGCAAATCGTAACGGTTTTTTTTTTTTTTTCATTACGTAATTTTGTCGTAGGTTTCCTGACGGTAACAACAAAAAAAAAAAGAAAAATTTTTATCGTTTTAGATATTTTCTGACAAATTAAAAATTGGCAAAAGCTTGGGACTTAAATTGGATAATGTAAAATAAACATCTGTCTGTGTGCATTAAAATTGAAATGTTAGTTGACGTAGATTTAAAATTGTAAAACGATGATAAAATTTATTTTCTAATAATAATTTAAAAGGAACGACTCGCGGGAGTTCTATCGAATTACATTGATTGGATGATAGCATTAACGCTCCGTTCGACTCTCTTTTCCTTTCGTTTTTCCTACCCTCTCTCTCTCTCTTTAACAACCTCGAATATTTTTCCCTTTATTCCCTTCCGTTTCCTCTTCGTTTATCCCTTCTTTTCCCTCCTTCTCCTCTTCTTTCCCCCTTTTCATTCCTTCCCTTTTTCCTTCCTCTCTCTCGTTTTCCTTACCTCTCGGTCGGGTCCTCTTTTTTTTTTTTTTTTATTTTTTTTTAGCCCTTCCAGAGTTTTTATGCTCCAGCATCACTTGCTCACGTTCATTTTTTTTTTTTTTTTGTTTTTTTTTTTCATCCAGATTCTGGAAAATTTTGATTTCGATTTTTGTTTTATTTTACTTTTTCTTTTTTTTTTTGTTGTAGCCTTTTTGTTCTTTTTTTTTTCCAGGGAAAAACGTTTTGTTATCTTACTACTTTTGATAATTTCTTAACGATTTCCGTTTCCTGTTTTTTATTTACGATACTCAAACATTACAGTAGTGTTAAGTGTCCAAAAACTTTTCCCGTAAATGTAAATGGAAATGAGAAAAAGAAAAATTTTTACCACCACCTGGAAAATTTGTATTCGAATTCGTTCGTAAATAAATAATAAATTTTCATTTGTCGGGACGATTTTTTTTTGTGTCGTCTGCTTCCCGCGGGAATATTACGGTGACGTTATACCCTTAAAACAAATTTATTTGTAAATTTTTTTTTTTTTTTTTTTTTTGGTAAGAAGAAAATCTATCGAATTCGAATTCGCACGATTTAAATTTCGATTTATATTTTACCCAAATGACGAAATTTAAAATTTTTTTTTATTACCTAACGTTTCGAGATTTACAATTTTACCTTTTCTCTCACGCACACGCACACGCGTATTTTTTATTTTAAGGTCTGTAATTTACTTATTTCCAAACATTTTCCTATTAACAAACAAACAAACAAACGAACAAACGAACAAACATATCGTTTTTTTAAATTTTTTATTTTTCTTATACAAAAAAAAAAAATATAAGAAAACCTTATTTACCTATTACTTAAAGCTATATAAATCGATCATTTTATGTTGAGATAAAAATTTAATTTTCTTTTTTTTTTTTCAAAATTTATAACGTTTCAATAATGTGACGTAATAAAAATAATAATAATAATAATAATAATAATAATAATAAACATTTTATTAATTTGATTTTTTTTTCTAATTCCCCGAGGTGTGAGGAGGGATGTTGGGGGTGTGGTGGGGTGCGAGAGAGAGAGAGAGAGAGAACCGGGTTTTTTTCATTTCCTCCCGAATTTTCTTCTTTTCTTAATTTTTCTTTTTGTTTTTTTTTTTTTAAATAAATTTGGATTCGTTATGAAAAAAAGAGAGAGAGAAGAGAAAAGAGAGAGAGAGAGAGAGCAACGTTTGAAAAGTGACAATAAATGGGCATTACTATGACAAACAAGAGCGTAATTTAATTTTGTTTATTTGATTTTATTTCAGTTAAGGTGGGGTGGGGAAAATTTTACCCCTGGGATTCTAACGTTAAAATTCTTCCTTCTTTTAACTGATTGTTCGTTCGTTTACAAAACTCTTCTCTTAGACTGATTCACAAAACGACTGATTTTCTAGAACGTTCTCTTATTTTTTTTATTATATCTTTTACTTTTTCATTTAACTTTAATCAATTAGACAATTTTCCTTTTTTTTTTTTTTTTTATTACCTAACGATCGAGTTTTTCCTTTTACTAAATACTTTGGTTGTTTTAATGGATTTTTCCTTTTTTGGTAACGGCCAACTTTGATAAAATTTTAAAAAAAAATTTCCTTATTCATTTGGAGGTTTTTAAATATTCCAGAAAATTGGTAAAAATTTTCCAGGAGAAAGAAAATTTAATCATTTGTTCAGAAAAAGTACCAATTAAGGAAAAAGTGAAATGTTTCGTACCTTTTTAAGCAAATAATTATTATTAATGTGACGTAATTAGACGAGTAGGATAGACTAAAAATAGTAGCAGACTAAATTTCCGTCGGTTTTGGAAAAATTTTGATGAAAAATAATAATAATAATTATAATGAAAAACTTACTGTTTTTAGAATCGTCATCGTTTCCAACGTAAATTTTATTTCTAACAACATCATCATGCGATTCTTTTTTACATCCGGAATTACCGGAAGAAGATCTTGAATCGTCTGGATCCACAACGGGTGATACGGATGATCCTCGGATTGATATATCCGTCGGATATTTCGAATCCACCGCGGGCTCAATTTTTTCCTTATCATCCATATTTAATTGTATTTTATAAAACGTTGGAAAATTTCTTTCCATTGATTTAATTTTATTTTTATTTTGATCACCAATTAAATTAGCAACGTCCATAACGTTTGTTTTACTACCACTCGAACCGAATTTTAATTTTTTTTCAATGTTACCATCCATGATGATTTGATCGTTTTCCCGATTCCCATAATAATCCCCCGAATTCGTTGTTGTTTTTTTAACATCATCAATTTTCCGATTGTAATTATATAAATTTTCCATTATTTTCTTATGAGAATTCGTTATCACATCGACGACATTTTGTAAATTTCCCTTTTTTTCCGCATCCGTTTTTGGCGAAATCCTTTCCGACGGTGATTTCGTCGTAGAAATTTGAATCGTTTCCGGTATCGGATTCAACGGGATTTCCGTTTTTATAGTTTTTTCCATTTGTTTCTTATCATCATCATTATTATCACCATCACCTTCATCTCCATTGTGTGTATGAGTTTTTTTTTCAAATGTTTTCGATACGAATTGTGTGAGTTGTTCCATTATTTTATTTTCATCACATTTAAATTTTCCCCGATTTTATATATATATATAATATTAAATACTTTAAAAATTATTATTATTATTATTGTTTGTTAAAATTAAAAAAAAGAAAAAAAATAAAACACCGTAACGTTCATCACCGTTCCGTATGAAAATTTTCATTTCGTACTTGTGGGGGAAAAAAAAAAAAAAAAAATCTGTCGGCCATGACAGTTTCGTTTTGTAAGCTGGAAAAATAACAGGTGGAGCTTTATAGTCCCGCCTTTTATTTCTCATTGGTTAAAATGATTATTGATAACTCACCACTTAATTTAGAAAATTTTAATTAAATTATGGCCTTTGAAAAAAAAAAAAAAAAAATTGATTTCCATGATACTTTGACCCCGATTTACAATTTCTATACGATTCACACATAATATATATGCTATGCTTAAACGATTAATATAAATAAATAATAATAATACTAATGTTTTTATAAATTTAGGGCCTCGTTTATCATCATCATCATCATCATCATTATCATTATCATCATTGTCGTATTTCAACGTAGTTTTAACGAAAAAAGTAAAAATAAATAAATAAATTTTTTAGTACTTTGTAAAAATGATACAAGATCATAGAATAAATAAACATTTTTTTAGTTTTTTTTTTTTTTTTAAAGTTGGCAACGATATTTAAAAATGTATGCGTATATTGGGGGAGAGAGGGGGGGAAGGAGGGAAAGAAAAAAAAGACAGTTGGTTCTTTATTTGAAAAAAAAGCAAAGGTTATTTTCAAAAAAAAAAAAAATTTTTTTTTTCAATTCGAAAATAAAAATTAATGAATTTGTTTTATCGGCTTGGCGGAAGGAGAAAAGGATTTCGAACGATATAAAATCAGTTGATAATAATAATAACAATAATACATAATACATAATAATAATAATTTTTTTTTTTTTTTTGACTTTTTTTTTTTTTTTTTTCTTGTTAAAAAATATTTTCGTAAACGTATGTTGTATCGGAGGAAAACGTTGGACAACTTCAAAATTTTTTTTTACATTTCATGGGTTTGTTTTTACTTATTTTTTTTTTTTTTTAAATACTGATTTTTTCATTCGCGAAAGAAAATAGGAAAGAAAATTTATTTAAATAAGAAGAAAATATATAAAATCATCGTTTTAAAGAATTACATATTTATTTCGCTTGAAAGGTTTGTTATTAAAACATTTATTTATTTATTTTATTAATTAATAATTTGTAAAAAAAAAAAAAAAAAAAACGGTTGAGATTTTATTATTATTATTTATTTATTTATATTTTTCAAATCGTTGATGCGTTAAATTTGGTAGAAATTAATTAAATTTTTTTTTTGTTTACAAAATGATCGTAAATTAATACTGCTAGTAATGATAATAATAATAATAATAATTAAATTTTTAATTTTCAGCTCATAATTTATTTAAATCTTTGTTTTTTTCCAGCCGGATTTTACTACCAATTTACAATAATAATTTATTTATTTATTTATTTTTTTCTTATTTGAAACGAAAAATAAATAAATAATTTTTGTTTACGATAAACATACCCCCTCCCCATTTTTTTTTTGTTTTCGTTTTGTTGTTGTTGTTGTTGTTGCACTTTAATGTTTTCGTTCGAATTCCAGAATAAAAAAAATTTTTGAATTTTAAAAAAATTTTTGTGCGTAAACAGATATTCATTTATTTTATAATAAACGGAGGAAATGTAAAATTTTAACCATTTATCACGTCTTATAATTAATAATAATAATGGCTTCATTTCGGACCGGGTTCAAAATTATTGGTGACTTTTCTTTGAAGAAGGTGAGAATATTTAATTATATTAATTAATATTAATATTATTAATATTAATAATAATAATATTATTTATTTTATTAAATACGTGTAAGTTTATTTTTTCAAATCAATTTCAAATTTTTTTTTTTTTTTTTTGTAATATACTTATATGTATATTTTGGTTATGTTATTTATTTAAAATCGATGAATGTTTATTGAATGACCTTTTAACCTTTTTTTTTAATTATAAAATTTATAATAATTGTAAATGAAAGGAAAAAAAAAAAAAAAGTCTCCGTCATATGTAAAATGTTTATTTGGTTTCGACGCGGTAAAAAAAAAAAAAATCGTTATTAGAATTTTTTAGAAAAAAAAAAAAAAAAAAAAAAAAATTTTTTTTTGATGAATTAGGTGGAGTAGATAGAAAAATTTGTTACTTTTTTTAAGGGGCTTGGTCGAATTCGTAGTTTTAGCGAGGATAGAAAAGTAGGACGATGGTTACCGGAGGATCAATGGGCTGTGAGACAACCGGGATCCACGTGTCCCGATCCATGCGAAAAATCAAAAAAACCCCCCAAGCCATCAAAGTCTTGGCTTTCTGTCTGTAAAGACCCTGAAGTACCGTTGGAATGTGATATACGTCACAATAATTGTCCGCCACCGCCCGTCAAACCTGATGGACCATGGTATAGTTTAGATAATTTACTGCCGAAAAAAAAGCCATCGGAAAAAACTCCACCCCCAGAAAGCTGTAGAGAAAAATTAAAACAACGGGAGTTATGTCCAGAAGAGGAAGAGGTCTGTGAAAATATTGTAGATAAAACTATTCGAATAGATATACCGCCGAAACCCTCGGATTGTCGTGGCGCAAACAAAGAACCATGCCCTGCTCCAGTCATAACATTGTCATGCCCCCCACCAAAAGAGTTGAACTTAACGTTATGGTGTAGTGACCCTATTTATATTAGAGACAGAATCCCTCAAACATGTCAGAGTGATAAATTGCCTTATGAGGAATTCAGACCGAAAAAAACTTGGAAACCTGCTCCGTTTTCTTTGTCTAATAAAATTGAGCAATCTCAATGGCCCTCTTCGTGTTCCACTAGTCCGGTAGCTTATTCCGAATTTAAACAAGTGGAAATACCTAGGCCTTTATATACTCGTTATAAATCCGTGGAATTACATAATTCTAATTTTTTAATGACAATGATCGATGCTAAATGCCCTGAAACCGATAATTATTCACAACCCAAAACGGAAACAAAACCCTGCGTCGAACGTTGTCCGCCTCCCCCACCTTATATAGAATCAGTTAAAGAACCTCCGAAAAGCAAATGTCCCCCTGAAAAACCCTTTATAGTTGCCGGATCTTGTAAACCCGTTAAACTTAAAAAAACAACAAAATATACATTTCGGCCTAAGCCATCAAACATAATTGAAAAATGCATTCGTTTAAATCCTTTCTCTTCTTGCAAATGTGATGATAATTTACAATTTAGGGAGGAGGTAAAGAAAGAAGAAAGTAAACCTAGTCCGGCAAAATCCAAATCTCGCGATCCTCCAAAAGTTATAACGGGAACCCTGACGGATGAACCTCAAAGTTTTCAAGGTAGCGTTTTCCATTCTCACGATCCTCCACGATGGATGTACAACCTATGCAAACCAGGAATAAAACAAACACCATTGGTTCCGCCGTGCGAGACACGTCATAAAGAACCCGACTGGTGTTCCGAAACCGATGGGCTTAACTTTTATGATGACAACAATGAAGGTTTACGTCCGAAACCTCCTCCGGATCCATGTAAACCTGTGAAAAAACAAAAATTAAAACCAACAAAACCTCCAACGAAAACGGAAAATGTCGTTTTGGAAAGCAAAGGATCAGAAGAGAAATTTGTTTTAATGCCGGAAAAATATAATATTAGAAAAACGAGAAAGGATGATTATTCTGCGGATGTTTCGGAGATACCAACTTTTGAAAAATTTTTAGAAGTCCAAAAAGGTCCTTCAAAGCAAGGCAATAAATCTTATCCACCAATCAAAGAAAATATTTTATATGATCTACAGAGAATATGTCCAAATCCGCCATTCAATCCTGCAAAACATTTGACTCCTTGCGTACAACCGCCATCAACACCGGAATGTCCAAAGTCTTCAGGCTCCCGAAGAAGTTATTCAACGTTAACCCAGACAGTATATAGAAATTCGTATTACCCTCAGTTTTACAAAATTCAACATCGTACAGATTGTGGCGACAGCAGCGAAAAATGTAAAATTAAATCATTGCAACCGAAAAGAGAATGTCCGGAAAAGAAAAAGGTACGTACGCTGGAAAAACTAACTTTCGACATTTTTTTAAATTTTACTCCCTCCCCTCAAAACTAATTTTTTTTTTTTTTTTCTTAGCTTACGGATTGTACGGAAATAACATTACCCTGCTGTCCTAAAGCTAGAGTACCACCAAATTGTCAATTTCCAAGACCTATGCCACCATGTAAAAAAAAATTAGCACCCAAACCGGCTTTTTCCGAATGTTCGAAAAATCCACCGCCTTGTCCGAAAATAACAGAATGCAATTGTTGGGATATCAAAACTAAAAAGAAAAAATAATTTCTTTTTCTTTTTTTCTTTTTTTTTTTTTTTTTATTTTCGAAATATGGAAAATTCCGTTAGTAAAAAAAATGATAATTAATTTTTGAATCCGAAAAAATTTGTTTTTAGAATTCTAATTTTCTTTTTTTCGGGGGGGTTTTTTTTTTTTTTTTTATTATCGTTTCAGATATTTTGAAGAGTAAAAAAAAAAAAAAAAAAATGGCTGAGGTTAAAGCGAGCAATTATACGATCACAATCGGAATTTTTTTTTTTTTTTTGTTATAAAAAGGAAAATTTGAAGGCGCTATATGACGACGACATTATAAAACCGAAATCGATCCCCCCACTCTTCTATACTATTAACCAACCCCCCATTTAAGTTTTTCGTAAAAATGATGAAAACCCATAAAATTGAAAATTTTTTTATTATCTCTTCTTCAATTTTTAAATTTAAATTTAATTTTAATTCAAAATTCAAAAAAAAAAAAAAAAAAAAAATTTAAAGGCGTGACAATCAAAATGGAGCATGGCACGGTGTATAAAAAAAAAAAAATATTTTAGGATTTTCTTTTTTTTTTTTTTTTTTTTTTTTTAATTTAGTAAATAAAACCATGTAATTTTTTTTTTTTTTTAAATAATTTTTCTTATCCCACGTTTAAAAAAATTTCGTTAATGACCCGTTTAAAAATTATTTTTAAAGACGGGAAAAAAAAAAAATTTTTTGGGTTTAAAAAAATAATTCGAGGGTTTGTTTTTTTTTTTTTTTTTTTTTTAATTTAATTTTTTTAAAAAAAAAAAGGTTTGTTTTTAATCTGTATTAAATAAATAGATATTAATAAACATAATAATAATAATAATGATGATGATGATGATTTTTCAGGTTTTAAAAAATTCTAGAAATATTAAAAATACAAATTCCCGTGGTAAAAGTCAATACATAAGCAAAGTAAAATGTTCGACGCTTCAAACTCCTTCAAATTATCCAGGGAGTGAAAATAAAATTATGTTGGGATTAAAAGATCTCAACGACGAGGATTCTTTTTGCGAATATGAAAAAAAATCAGTACATTTAAAACAAAATTTAATTCCGAATAAGAAAAAAATGAAAGAAAATAACCTGAAATATTATCAACAAACAAATGATGATGATAATGGTAGTAGTACTAATACTAATACTAATAATAATAATAATAATAGTAATTCACAGAGCAACAGAATGTTTTTGGGTGAATCGGTTACACTTCATAAAAAAAACGAATCAACTAAAGGTACCGATTTGGGTAGTTGTTTAAGTCAATGCGAACAAGAAAATTCAAAAGCATTTATTGGATCTTTGGGCTCGTGGATCAACGATTTTTTCAATGGTAAATCTTAAGGAAATTCAATTTGAATTCACGAATAAAATAATAATAATAATTATTATTATTACAGTTCAAAATAAAAGGCCGAACACGGAACCGAAAATAAAAACGAAAACATTTCTAGAAGAAACACTGTGCGACGAAGACACGGAATATTTTAAATCTATAAACATATTAAAAGAACAATTTAGAAAAAAACTTAAAAGTAAAACGAGCATACAAATTTTGAACGGGGATAAATTATTACATTTTAGTTTTAACGAAAAAACTCCAAAGAAAAAATCAAATTCGATGTTTTTTACAAAATTATTAGTACAAAAAGGTTCAATTGATAAAACAAATGGTGGTTCAACACAAGAAGAAGTTGAAGAAGAAGAAGAAGAAGTCCCTGATTTTTTAAATGCTCCTCCTCCTGCTGCTGCTCCTACCACTACTGTTACTACTACTAGTACCACGTTGGAACCGGCTGGAAAACCGAATGATGAAATTTCAATGCAATTATACAGATCGAAAAACAGTCTGGATTTAAGTCAATCCGTAATTATTCGTAAAAAATCAAATAAAAAAAAAAGGTAGGTAAAGAATATTATTAATAAATTAATTAATTTTTTTATCCATGGATTTTATTATTTTTAATAGGTCGAACACGGAAATATTAGACGAATTTGGTTTTCATTCGTCTAAAGAACTTCCTAAAAAATTACTTTTAAACGTACGTGACCAAGATAAAAGAACGTCGCAACTTTACAAGGCCATGCAAGTCGGAGTTCAAGAAGCACAAAGAAAGAGTAAATCGTATCAGAATAGCACGAGGTGTTACACTACAAATGCCACCATGGCGGACAGCATAGAAAATTTTAATGCGCCTAAAGAAAAAAAAGAAAATGTTCTTTCTCTTTCTACCGGACGTAGAAAAGTACTCGCGGGATTCACGAGAGACAATTCGACGTACGTTAAAGTCAGACCGCAGAAATCTGTGAACGTACCTTTTGAAACTTCAAAAACAGATTTCAAATTGTCATCAGACGATTTGGTAAAATATCTTATGAAAAAAGTCAAAGCCAATCATAAACCGGTGAAAATAAAAAAGAAAGCAATCAACGTGGGATCAGTAACACCGACTGCGATGACTTCGGCACATGCGACTATTTCAACGAGTTTCGTACCTGCTACGGCACAGAATAAAAGTAAATTCATGCAATCGGCGACAAGTTCATTGGTGACGAACGTATTGTCGAAAAAAGAAAATGATTTGTTGTTAACTATAAAAAACAATGCGCGACATTTGGCGGATAAAAATGAATCGTCTTCGAAACCGTGGGTCGTCAAACGTGAAAATGGTAGGTTGGAAACGAAAAGAACGTCAGCACAAAATAAATTCGATAAGAGTTCTTATCTCTCTGACGACATAAACGAAATGAAAGACAATTTGCTGTTGGATAAAACTACGAAAAATTCAAAAAAATTATTAATAAAACAAGATGCGAGTGATAAATTTATAAAAAGAGAAGAAGTCAAAAGTATGCTTTCGAAAATCGATTTCAAATCGGAAACATATAAATTAAATAAACACAAACAAAAAGAAATGAAAAAAAAATCATTTCCGGCCAATGTTGGCGGTGATTTAACCGACATATTACATATTGATAATCCAAATGCTAGGTTTCAACTTCAACACGAACTATTTAAAAATAGTCCGAGAAATTTCGAACAAAGCCCCAATTCAAATGAAGTCGAAGAAACATACGTTGACAATGATGAATCTAAATTAAATTCAGAAGTTGGTAGTAGTGGTGGTGGTGTAGGGTCACCATCGAAAGAATTAGCCGTTATAAGTAATAATTACGAATTGATACCGCAACCCAACGATAACGATCCAAAAGAATTATCAGAAATATCAATTAATAATAAAGAAATTTTTAATTTAAAAAATTCTGATTGTTTTAATATCGATGATGAAACGACAACAACAATCGGGAAAAATTCAATTCCGGATATAGATATTAATGATAATACTAATAATCATTTATTACAAAATGATAATTCGAAAGATTTATTGGATCTTTCCCCTTGTTCGCAACCGTTAAACGATATATCGAAATCGAAAGACAATTTCGATTCTTTTAAGGCTGCTTTCGATGATAATAATATTGTGACCGTTAAAACGGAAGAATTTCCTAAATTCAAAAGAAGGTTTTCGGAAAATTTAGCAAACGAAGTTGCTAAAAGAAAATGGCCGATCACTCAAAATAAAAGTCATAATTCTAATGTTGTTCATAATGTAAAAGCGAAAGATTCGAATAGAGAAAAAAAAATAAATAAAAGGAGAGACAAAGGAAAAAAACATGAATTAATTGTTGATGAATTAACTGATATTTGCGGTTATGATAAAACTAAAAAAATTATTTCGAATTGTGATGAAGAAACGTAACATTTAAGTTTTGGACTCGAAATTACGTTAGTTTATTTATTATTTTTTAAAATAACTTTATAAATTTTGATATTAATTATTTTAGGAAATTTTTTTTTTTTAAATTCTTATTAAGGACTTTTTAATTTTTTTTTTTTTTAAATTCTTATTAAGAACTTTTTAATTGTTTTTTTTTTTTTTTGATAAATCCTTTATGAAATTATTTATGACAAGTTAATTATAATATAAATTTTTTTTTTTTTTTGCAATATTGAGTTTTTATTTAAATTTCGTCTGCTTTTGGGATGGATCACCATAAATATAATAGATACTTCGAAGGGGCCGAGAAAAACGCGCGGGATAGATTTTTAAACGACATTAGTTAGTACGCATTTACGCATTTACGCATTGTGCGTTCTTAACGAAGGTTTTAAAAAGGTTAATGAATAAATTTATTTTCCCTGGGGTTGCCAAAAAAAAAAGTACGCCATTAAAGTTATTGATTGTAAATTGTCGCCAAAATATCAAAACTGACATTGACTAATTACACGACAAACAGCTGATATTAATACAAACAAGTTTAGGAGGGAAAAGTGTTAAAAATGTGTTATAAGTAATCTTTTATAAAGAAAAGTCATCATGAATTTGTTTCAGTGTAAAATCAGTTCTTTTACTAAGTTAAAAAGTGATAATTTTAGAAAAAATTTGTACGAAAAAGAAAACTCGAGTGATAAAATTATAACAGAGTTAGTATTTAATAATTAATTTTTTTTTTAACTGGTTTAATTATGATGCATTATAAAAAAATTTCTTTTTACATTTTTAGTAGTTTTGTACTTTCCTCAAAAACTGGACAAAACAAAACAGATAATTGCATGAAAAAGGTGTTGAATCACGCAAATTATGTAATTCTGTAGTATAAATTACAGTAAATGCAACATTTTATTTTAAAAATTTTAATTTATAGGAGTCCAAGTGACAAATCTCTATCTTCTGATCAATATCATATAGATGAAGCTAACTTTTGGGATGATGATGATAGCAATGACATATTTGAAATGCCGAAAAAAAGGAGTAAAGAGAAGAGTCCAGTTTTGATGACATCTCAAGTGATGGAAACTAAAATGTTAAATAATGTGGAAAGTACAATTTTAAATTCATCCAGTGAAAGTCAGAGTAAAATTCCAGACAAAGATGAATGTTGTTTCGATTTAGATTTCGAATCTGACTTTTCACTCGAAATCGGATGTGATAAAAATGATACTTTAGAAAATTGTAAATCACCAACTTTTGATTTACCTGTGAATCCTAGTAAACTCAGTAGTAATTCTTTTGTAGAAAGTCCAAAATTTGAGAAATCAAAAAATTTAAATTTAAATTTTTCTAATGTTGAATTAACTGAATCGAATAATGATAGCCTAAATTTAAATTCTATACAAAAAGATAAATTGAAGCCGATAGGAATAAACAAAGAAACTGGAATGTGGTTGAGTAAAATGATAGAAAATGAAGCTTTTCAAAATATTTCAATGGATACATCGGAAGAGACTCTACAAAATAATTTATTATTTTTAAATAAGTTATACATTGAAATATTAGAGAAAATAATGTCAGCTTTTGAAAGTTTACCTTTAGAAATGCTAAAATGGTTTCCTGATTTTGATGCTGATATATGTGTCACTTTAAGAACGACTAAAAGAAGAGTGAAAGCTATAATTATAAAAACAGAAAATTTATTGAAAAAAAAATCTGCTTTCGAATCTTCCACTGATTATAACTTAAGTAAATCTTCATTACAGCCTACAAATTCATTAGATGTGTCAAATTTTTCTTTAAACAGTACAAATATTTCTGAAAATTTTCCAGTCGGAAATGAAAATAATTCAAGATCATTTTTTTCTGAAAATGATTACAATCAAGAGATTCATAACGTTTCAGCTCATAACTCTACATCGACTCAGTTGGGTGTAATTGATTATACTGACATGTTATACAAATCTCCAGATAAAACAGCAGCAATTGAAAATGCTTCTAAAAATTCGAGTGCATCTCAAAGTAATATGAAAAATGATTCTGCACAGTTTAACGGTTTGACTTATCCACATTCGCAAGATTTAATAAAAATGTTTCATTTAAAATTTGGACTCAAAAGTTTTCGAACAAATCAACTTCAAGTAATGAATGCTGCTTTATTAGGTCATGATTGTTTTGTACTTATGCCTACAGGAGGAGGAAAATCATTGTGTTATCAATTACCCGCCATAGTTTCACAAGGAGTCACTGTTGTTATATCACCTCTCAGGTCGTTAATTTTGGATCAGGTTACAAAACTTGTGACATTAGATATAAAAGCCTGTCATTTGTCAGGAGATGTAAAAGAGAGTGAAGTTGTTGACATATACAGGAAATTAAACATGCCCGAACCGGAAATAAAGCTTTTGTACGTGACACCGGAAAAAGTAGGAGCGAGTACAAGTTTAAGAAATATTTTTTCGAGATTATATAATCGAAACATGTTGGCCAGGTTTGTCATCGATGAAGCTCATTGCGTGTCCCAATGGGGTCACGATTTCAGACCAGATTACAAAAAATTAAGAGAACTTCGGGAAAATTATCCTAATGTAAATATAATGGCATTAACAGCGACAGCAACACCTAGAGTTAGAATCGATATTTTACATCAGTTAAAAGTAAAAAGTCCAAAATGGTTTCTGTCTAGTTTCAATAGATCAAATTTATGTTATGCAGTGAAAGAAAAAAAAGGAAAATCAACTCTGAAAGATATTGCTGCTTTAATACAACAGGAATTTTCTCGAGACACGGGTATCATATATTGTTTTTCTCGAAAGGAATGCGAAGATGTTGCAAGAGATTTGAAAGTACACGGTATTGGAGCGATACCCTATCATGCAGGTTTAAACGACACCGAAAGGACAAAGGCTCAAAACCTGTGGATGAACGGAAAAGTAAAAGTCGTTTGTGCAACGATAGCTTTTGGAATGGGCATTGATAAATTGGACGTGAGATACGTGTTTCATTATAGTTTACCCAAAAGTATCGAAGGATACTATCAGGAATCTGGTCGAGCTGGACGAGATGGAGAAAAAGCCACATGCATACTTTATTACTCATACAGAGACAAACATAGAATGTTGAAGTTGATCAACATGGATCAATCAATGTCAAACATGGCGGCGAAAAAAGTACACATTGACAATTTGTATAGAGTTGTTGCTTTTGCGGAAAATGTGACTGATTGCAGGAGGAGTTTGCAATTGAATTATTTCGGTGAAAAATTTGACCGGAAAGTTTGTATTGAAAACAGAGAAACTGCTTGCGATAATTGTCTACAAAAGGGTTTCTACGAAACGGTGGACGTTACCGCAGAAAGCAAAGCTATCGTGTCCGCCATTAAAGAAGTTTGCGGTCCAGATCATCAGAAACATTCGAATTACACGATGCTCCATTTTGTGGACATCTTCAAAGGAACGGGTATGAAAAAAGTCGAGTCTGAGGGACACCAAAATTTACCATTGTGCGGAATGGGTAAATCCTGGCAAAGACTGGATGCGGAAAGGTTAATTAGAAAATTAATCATGGAAGAATTTTTAAAAGAGAGAATCATGGTGAAGGACGAGGGTATGACTTGTGCTTATTTGAAATGCGGACGACGGGGAGATGAACTTTTAAAGGGAAACGTGAAAATAATGTTCGATATTAAAAAATCGAAGAAAAGTACTCCGGGAGCCAGCACGTCGAAAACAACGAAAACTTCTGTCGATCCAGCCATTTTGGAAATACAAGAAAAATGTTATACCGAACTCATGGATGTCATTCGTGGGATCGCAAGTTCTCTCAATTGCAATCCGAACGCAATAATGAACGTTCAAGCTCTTCGATCCATGTCTTACAATCTACCTGAAACTCCCGAAGAAATGTTTTTAATTAATCACGTGACAACGGCTAATTTTGAAAAATACGGAAATATACTTTTGGAAATCACGAAAAAATACGCGGAAGAAAAAAAAGCTATAACTTCCGTACCGGAAGTCAATTTCCCAGACGAAGATTTTTTCACGGAAGATGAACCGTGGTCGACCGAAATACTCAACGATAATAATTCTCATGAGGATACGGAAGTAACTTTTTGCGGTAAGGAAAAAGGAAATAGAAAAAGGAAAGGGACAAATTTTCGCAAATGGTCAAATACGAAAAAATGGAAAGGATCGACAAATAATTCGAGCAAAGGAACGACGAAATCTAAATCGAAAGGAAAAAATGATTTTAAAGTCGCATCCGACGGATCGGGAGTCACGACATTTTCCGGGGGAGGAGCATTTTCCAAACTTATGGAATTACCTACGAGTAAAGATCGAGGTTTTGCCAGACCTAAAGTCCTTTTAAAAAACCTTTGAATTAATTTAATTTAAAATGTACATATATATATTTATTTTTTAATGTTGTGTATATTTATTGAAACTTTAAAAAAAAAAAGCAGAAGCAGAAGAAAAAGGAGGAAAAGGAGGAAAAATCAAAGGACAAAAAAAAAAAAAAATTAAAAATTAAAAATTTTATTTTTTACCGTACAGTATTCAATTGTTAACAAATATTATACAAATAAGTATCGTTTACATCAACCATTTTTATCCAATTAATTATTTATTATAATAAAATCCTCATTTATTATTATTAATATTACATTGTTTATTAAAATTCATTTTACATAAAAAAAAAAAAATTAAATAAAATTATTGTATCTATGTATTTTATGGCATCGTTTTTTAAAGTGGGAAGGACAAAAAAAAAAAAAAAAAAAAAACAATTTTTTAAAAATGATTATTATTGATTCCCGCCATTTTTTTTTTTTAAATTTAAATTTTATGTACAATTAAAAGGTAAATTGACCATTTAAAAAAGTAAATGTGTCCCGCTACTATCAATTAATTAGATAATAAACCGCTAATTAAATTTCAGGATTCGGATAAAATCTCTTCGATGGTTTTATCATCGTGAAGAGGAGAATGATCGACGGATAATGCAGACTGACTCTCCAGAAACTCTCTCAGTTCGGATTCCAGATCTGGAACGGGAGGTTCTTGCACGATGGCAGCCACTCCGAGAGCTTTTCTAACGCTCGCGACGGGTGCTATAGCTTCCGGCGGTAAGCGTTTACTCATTTCCGATAAATTGTCCGTTACTTTATCCGCTAAATCTATTTCCGTTTCCGAGGGTCCCGGTATGTGTGCCAAATGGGGCGGAGGCGGTTGACTCAAACGCTCGTTTTGCACTTTGTGTAATTTTTGTATTAAATTACACGTGTCGTCCAAACGATCTTGCATTACGTCATCAACCCCAGGTAATTCTTGTTTTCTTTTTCCTTCATTTTCTAAAATGCGAGATCGTGTTAAATTTAAACACAAAAAGTTATTACCAAAAAACATTTCGATTGAATTTTATTTAAATTACCAAAAGCATCCAGAAAAGATGTATCTATCCCGAGTTCGGATAAAGTTCTGAGACTTTTAAAATCCACGTTTACGTTAGGCGGAGTTTGAGGGGCGGGAGGTTCCATCAATTGTCTTATTCTTTCTTCTTCTTCTTTTAATCGACGTCTGTCTTCTAGAACGCGTTTCGTTCGTCTATGATCTCCTCCCGTCATTAAATCCAACAAATTATCGACCATGGTTAAAGCATAATCGCAATCCTTGGCAAAATCTAAAATGCTGAAAAACTCAAAAAATACTTAGCCGTGGGGCACCGGGGGGCATAACCTTAAATTCAAATTCGTTTACTTTTGATTACCTTTCTGCGTACTGAACGGATGTTTCATCCCCATACGTTTGATAAACTAAATCCGATTCTTCTTTTGTTAAGTTGGCAAAAGTGGAATCGTACGACGGTGCATACGAACCAAACGCTCCGTAATATAACGGCTTAACTGTTTAATAAATTTTTGAATGTAAAAAAAAAAAACTTTTAAAAATAATAACTTTAATAATAATCCAGAATTTTTTTTACCAGCTTTTACTAAATTTCTCCTGTCTTCTTTAAAGCCTTGAAGTTGACCTGTTCCGTGTTGCAATTTACCAATGAGGGATCCCAGCAAAACGGGACGTTCGTTTGTACCGGGAATGACGCCGTCGTTTGGAACTATTATGTTTAAAGTTGTCGTGTTATCCTTTTTCTGCCTTAAAAATCCCATGCATCCAGATTTACCTTTGGCCAATTTTCTCGCAGCTTCTTTGGCTGCATTTTGAACTTGTTTTGCAATTTGTGAAGGAGTCAAATAATCCGGTATCGCTTCAAATTTCGTCCTGAAATTTTAAAAAAAAAAAAAAAAATTTGAAGACATGCCTACTAATAAAATATATTTACAGTACAATAATATACACACTTTGGCATTTCTTTAGGTTCTTTCGATTTGATCTTTTCATCAACCTGTTCATTTTCTAAATCATCTTCTAATATTTCAGGTTCAGATTCATCTTCGGGACTGATATCAAAACCAACTTGCTCCGATGTAATGTCAGACATGAAAGGAAGTACAGATCTCAAAGGTTTTATTTTTTCCGGAGACAAAATTTTCATTCCATGGTGTAGAAGTTTTCTGGCTGCTTTGTAATAAATGGTGTCCTGATGATTGTAAGTCATTGCATTGTTACACATTAATTTAAAATCGCCCTGAAATGATCCATTTTGTTTTTTTTTTAAATCATAATAATAATACTAACAATAATAACAATATAATTAAAATAACACATACGATAAAGTCGGATAAAGTGGAATACAAATGATCGTCTATTTTTTGTTTGATGGTGCTAAAATCCATAGGTTGTGTTATTATATTAGAATAACCTGGTGCGAAACTGTCAGTGACTGGCCATGCGAAAAATTGCTGAGGATCTTTTTTTTCTAAAAGTTTTAATAAATAATCGAGCAATTTAGATAATGGAGTGTGTTCTAATTTTTGCCTCACAACACAAGTTCTTTGTTCTCTGGCTTCTGAACGAGGACTCATGGGAGGTCTCGGAGAAATTGATTTTATTAAAGGTTGCTCTGTTAATTTAGTACTCGTAACAATTACTGGGGGAATTATACTAGTTTCTAAATGTGGTTTTTTTATTACATCAATGCATGAGTCTTCTCCTAAACTTAATTCGTCTAAAGTTGATTCATCATGAGTTCTTTTTTTTTTCTCCTGTAAACAATATACGATAATATATTTTTAATCGAATGCACTATCGATTTAATATTATAAAATGATATGTAAAATAACAATTTTTTCTTGTTCAGATATTTACCTTGTGCCTATGTTTGTGTTTTTTTTCATGTTTTTCTTTATTTTTTTCTCTTTCTTTCTTTTTTTTTTTCTTTTTAATTTTTTTGTGTCTTTCGCTGTGAGACCCAGAAGTTATCGAAGCTAATGATAAAGATTCATCTTCCCCCTGAGTCAAGCATGTTTTACTGCTTTGAATACTTCCAAAGGTCATAGGAGATAAAGAATCATTACTATGTTCTGGAGTTGAAATATTTCCACCAACTTTTAATATAATTTTTAAACCTGGCGGTCTTTCACTACTTGAAAACTCTAAAATGAATAAAGCTTATTTAGCAAATAACAGAGCTTTGAAAAATAACAATTTAAAAATTTACGTCACGCATTTTAGTGTATATACATAAGTATATATATCAAAAACTATTTTTACATACAAATATTACATTTAAAATACTTTTAACAATTAATTTCATTGTTAAATTATCTAAATACAAACACATTTGCCGGTAGGTTACGCTTAATGTTTACTTTTTAAAATAAACACCCATATATATATTGATTTTAAAAATGAATAGTAAATTTAAATTCATATTTAATTACCTTCACTTCTATCTCGTTTTTCTGATTTGTGCTTTTTATGCTTTTTTAAACCCATTTTATAAAAGGCATTAAATGCCAAAAACTATAACGTTGATATAAGTGTATATATATAAACATCCTAAAAAAGTTAGTTTGGTAGCACTTCACGGGTAACAACATAATGTTTTTCTAGTAGGCGGTGACTTCAGCTGTTAGGTGACAGTTGATATTTGTTTTGTTAATGTTGAAATGGGATAATAAGTATTACGAATACTCGGGATATTTAAAGATGTTTCAAGGAATGGAAACAGACTTGGATGGCTCAATAAGTGTATCTCATCACGAGTTAGATAAGAAAAGTGATGATTCTTACGAATTTTCATTCTTTGACCGTCTGCCTATTGAAATATTTTTGCATATCTGCTCTTTTTTAGAGGTAAAAGATATGGTATTAACTCTTAGTAGGGTATGTAGAAGGTTTCATAGCATTTTGGGAGATGAAACCATTTGGAAATGCTGGATCGCTAAGCGTTTTTGTTCTAGATACCCTATAAGTCCCGTTGACACTGATTTTAACTGGAGAGGAGCTTGTTTTGATATTGAAAGGGAATGGAAATTGTGGGAAAATAAAGATCAAAATATTAAATACATTAATGTAAATGACGTACATATATCTTCTTGCGACGCTGTTTTATTTATTAATTCGGGTACCCATTGTATTACTGGCTCTCGGGATCGTAGCATGGTTTTATGGAAGCCTTTATTAATGACTGAAAGACCATACCAATTTACTCATCATCAAGTAGCTCATGAGGGTTGGATTTGGAGGCTTATTTATGTAGATAATTTATTGTATTCATGTTCTTGGGATAATACTGTCAAGTCATGGAGTCTTGAAGCAAGCAGCTTTCAACATATATCCACATTTAGGTTTATCTTTTTAAAACTTTTCTATTCATTAAGTTTAATTTCATAGAAATATGAAAATTTTATAGAATAGTTTTTATTTACAGTTGTGCTACTCCAGCGCTTGCTTTGACTTCACTTAATAAGCTCATAGTTGCTGGAGATTATGGAAAGACTGTCTATGCATTTGACCCCAGAGCTAACAAAGAACCTCAGTTCACATATGTCGCACATTCGAGAGCTATATTAAATTTAGGTTTGTGAAATGATTTTGTTATGGTCACTAAAAAATTTTTTTTATTTACATTCGGTTAAAATAAAACATAAAATTTTTAGGATCAAATGATACAGATATAATTTCTGGTAGTGAAGATAGATCAATAGTAATTTGGGACAGTCGTAATAAAAGTGTTAAAGAAAGAATTGAGCTTAGCAAAATATCATACCCGAGTTCTTTAGAAGTTGATGGTAAAAATATATATGTGGGTGATAGCAAAGGTCCCATACATGTTTACAGTACACAAAATGGAAAAACTTCACTGATATCCGATTTTGAAATTGGTCACACTAAAGCTGTATCGATAATTAAATGTGGTAGGGGATATCTCATTACTGGCTCTCTTGATGGAACAATTAAAATTTCACTGCCTACAAGTCCTCCACAAGCTATAGCTACAGTTAGAAGTGTGGGGGGACAAGTTGGTGGCGTAAGTTTATTTTTCACATACATTTATTTATTTATTTTTTATTTTTTTTTAGCTTCTTTTTTTTTATTTACGTTTTCCTTTTTTTATTTATTTATTTATAGCTTGACTATTGCAATGGCATGTTGGCTGCTGGATCTGCCAATTGTGTTGAATTTTGGATTTCTAAAGAATTATTTGACAATTAATTAAAATTTTTTATATCTATATATTATTTTTACCGATTGCCAGTATTTCCCATAATCTATAATATTTTCGAATTTTTTTTTTAAGTATCTAACAATTAATTGTTTTCTCTCTCTCTCTCTCTCTGATCATTATTAAAAATGATATTTTTATTAATTATTAATCAACCAGTATATATTTGACAAAATAAACAGTGGTAACATGAACAAACTAAATTAAAATTTTATTATTCATTCATTTTAACTATTTATAGTTATTCCCAAAGGAACTATAAACGTTTTAAATAATTTTTTTTATAGTATATATACATTTTTACAAAAAAATTTTTATAGAATTTTTTTTTTTTTCTATACTCTATGTGTATAACTAATTTTTAATTAAATTATAATTGTTATTAATGACTGTTAATTAATATTATTATTATTATTATTACCGTTTAATAAGACTTGCACTGTGATTCTTTTTTATTATATTATTATTAATATTCAGGTGTTGGATTTTAAAAAAAAAAAATTATTTTTTTTGATAATGGTTACTTACTAGTTTGATAACTGTTTAATCTTATAAATTATTTATAAGATTAAAAATAAAAAAATTTTTTATATTTATTGTTTCTAACAACCAAAGAATTAAAATTTTTATATATTTATAAATTTATTGATAAAAACATTTTTTTTAATAAAAATATTTTATTTATATAAAAATAATTATTTATTGATTAATTTTTCATATTCTAAAAAAAAACATTAAAAAATTTAAGTTTCGAAAAAAAAAAATTTATCGAATAAGGATAAACTCTCATAACGAAATAGTTTTATTATTATTATTATTTTTAAAAATCAAATAATTCTATTAATAATACCAAAAGAACATTCTAGAAACTCAATTTTATTCAAAATAAAAATAAAAATTGTGAAATGATAATCACTACGACAGAAATACTAAAAACAAAAGTAAATATGATATAAACTTAACATTTTTTTTTTTTTCTAACTGTATTTAGGTAACATTAGTAAAAGGTAGATTAATTCAAATCTATTCATGAAAGTAAAACATCAGTTTTGGCATGATAACCAGGTATTCTTTTTTCATGAACTGTATAAGGTTTCGCATGATCACCATCGGAATGATATTCGACTAAAAATGGCTCTGACATAAGTGAAGGTTTGAATTGTTTTAAAAAATAAATCCAACATTCTACTTCTTTGTTTGTCTCATATGTAGTTGACTCAGTTGATGAAATTGACTGAATGAAATCAATTTCCCTCACATAAAAATATGGATGATCTTCTAATGTGTCTAATTTAAACAGCATATGGTCATCCACTTCATAAATTTCACCGATAACATTCTAAAGCGGTAAGAAAACAAATTTTTTTTTTTTTTTTTAAATAAAACAAAATTTTATACTAGGAGTAAAAAATAAATAAAATAAACCTTACTTCACCTCTTCCTGGACTATGCAAAAGAAATGGAATGTTATATTTAGATGCTATGACAAGAGGATATTTTTTTATCGTTTTTCCTTTTCCCAAAAACTTTGAATAACCATTATCTTTGAGTTGAAGCCAATGATGATTTGGTTCTCCTCTTTTTAAAGTTCCATAAACAAAAACAGTATGTAAATTCATACCCTAATGATAATAATAATAAAAAATAAAATTTTACCTTCATTTTTCAATGAATGATAACGTTACATAATTGTGTAAATGAAGAGAGATTTTTACAATTTATTATTATTATTATTATTGTAATTCGTTAAGACAAATAATTTGTTTAAAAAAATATTAAAATACCTTATTAATGATAAATTTTAATTGAAATGGAAATCTCATTGTTTAACGTAAAACATTTTGAAGAGAGAGAGAGAGAGAGAGAAAAAAATTAAATCACAAAGTACTGTTAAAATGTGAATTTAATTTCGTCATAATGTTTTGATAGTTGTAGAGATAATGGCAGATGTCAGGACGATCATTTTCTTTATTGTTGAACTCTATCACAACACTCACGTTTGTTTTGTCGGGACTTGAGTAACCTTGAGTATGTATTCATTCGCCGTCTTTGTTTACTATTTTTGAATCACTTGTTTTTAAAATTAAAATAAAATCATTATTGTTCGTTATATAAATAATTTGCGGTTTTAAAATAAACAAAAAATAAAAATCAATTATTTTTTTTAGTGATAACAATAATAAGTTTAAATGAGTTTTTTTTTTTTTTTAAATAAACGACGGATTATTTTTTGATTTTAGCACAAATAATTTTCATCCGCGCCTGTGTTAGCAAAACAATAACATAACGCCGCATGCTTGACCCATTCAGTGAGAAACATTAGAATCGTGAAGTATAATATTGTTGTGTAAGCGGTACTGAAAATAATTTTTTTTTTTTTTTTGTTTTTTTTTTTTTTGTTTGTTTTTTTTTTTTTCGCGTGTGTGGCATCGTTTATACAATTATAATTTTATATTTGCATTCGAAGAATTGTTTTATTGTGTGGTTTTTTAATAGTGACTCGGAGTTCGTGAAATCGATCGAGGTATTTCATCCGATTAAAAAAAAAAAATATGCCTAGTAAAGAGGAAATGTGTTTTATAGCAAACAACATGGATAACAAAAATTGTCTCACGGCGAATTCGAAAAAGGATTTTCTTTCCCGTGACGTCGTCGAAGATTTGGTACTTGAAATAAAAGAAAATTTACGTTTAGGCGGATTAAAATCTCGACCTGCGTATGCGGCTCACAACAGAGCGTCACGTCCATCGCCATATCGTATTCCAAGCCGTTCCCGCAGTTGGGGGGAAGGTGCATGCGAGGACTGCCTCAAGGCCACAACCAGGCACTGCGGTGGCCATTCTTGCTTAACGATCAATAACAAAACTCTTAAAACCAAATCCAATGTCACATCAGCAGATGATCCCTATGAAATGCTACAAGAATTATTACGAGATGGAAGTTTAATTAAAGAAGCCGTACGTAGATTAGAAATGGGACTTTCACCCAAACAGCGATATTTTTACGATTCAGATGAGGAATCGCGAACACCGTTACGGGTTTGTAACGTTGACCTGTAACCTGCCTTTATTATTATTATTATTATTTTCATTTTCCTTATTATTATTATTATTTAAAAAAAAAAAAAAAAAAAAAAAAGACTCGTAAAGAAAAAAAAAAAGAAAAAAACAACAACAACAACAACAACGTCTGATTGTTTCACCTTGTACAACAAGAAAGAACGATTTTTTTTTTTTTTTTTTTTTTTAATTTATTGTTTATAATCTTGATATTGTTGTATTGTTAACTCTTTACGAAAAATGTTAGTTTGTTAGTTTGTTTTTCCTTTTTTTTTTTTTTTTTTTTTTTTTTTTTTCAATTTATAAAAAAAAAAAATAGTAGATCTTTGGATATATTCTTCGGACCCCTTCATAATTTGGGGAAATGATGTGTATTATAATTTAAAAATTTGCCATTTTTTAAAAAAAAAAGACGTTATTTAAAATAATGTTTAAAAAATTAAATTTAAAAAAAAAAATAAGTGTTCACTGCGTGCTTTAACAAAGCAGCATAAGTGCTGTAAGTGATTGAGTGATTGATTGATTGATCGATCGATTGGTTATTAAAAATGTGGGTTTGTTTGAGTCGAAATGAAAAAAGAAAGAAGCAAAACATACCAAAGTATATAATAATAATAATAATAATAATTTAAAAAAAAGTAAATTTCATTAAGTTTAAATTTTTTTTTTTTTTTTTTTGTGGATAAAAAACGATGAAATTTCATTGTTTATATATATATATGTAGATATATATAGACTATCGGTTAGTGGATACTGGTTATTGCAAAAAAAAATTATGCAAATACAGTTCCTTTTGTATATTTAATAGTTTCTTATTATTATTATTTAAATCAGTGCTCTAAATTGTGGGTGATGATTATTAATATTTATTTAAGATGATAATTTGAATAGAGTGGTGGTGTAGTATATGTTGTTTCAGTTTTTTTATTTAAAACATATCTCTTTTTTCTGGTAAGATACCAATAGTGAGATGATAGTTTTAATAAATTGTCGGATAAAATATTTCGATAGTCATCCGATAGTTTAACCATGTAAATGTATAAAAAAAAAAGCACACTGTACATAAATATATATATATATGTAGGTAAACACATATATTTTGTTGAAGTATTTTGAGTTAAACTTTATTTTTACAGAAGGCAATAATTTATTAACAAAAAAAATTTGGTAGCAAAAATACTTTTTGTTTTCGATTTTTATTTTGTAAATAGCCTTGTCATTGTTTAAAGTAATTGTAACAAAGTGAGGTCATTTATATTTATACGATTCAAATTTTTTCGAAGAAAACAAAACAAAAAGTTTAAATGGAACTTTTATTTATTGAATATTTATTAAGTTGATTGGTATCTCTCATAATACTACCTTTTTTTTTTTTGTACAGTTCAGCCAGTTACAAAGCGATTGTAAACAAGTTTTTGTTTTGTTGAAACTTAATAATAATAATAATGTGAAAGAGGAGAGGAGAGAAACTCAAATTTGCATATTCAGTTAATTTTTTCTTTCTCTCTTTCTCTCTCTTTTTATTTTTCTTTTTCTTTTTGACTCATTGAAAACTACTTGAGCAATAAAAAAAAAAAAAAAAAAAAATTTAGGCGGATTAGCTAATGACTTTCGATAGTAATTTAGCTTTAAATAAAGAAACTTATGTATCTGAAATAAAATAAATTGGAATTTTATTATTATTATTATTATTAACATTATTATTTATTAAAATTTTTTTTTTTTTTTTTTTTTGTTCATATTTAAATTTCATTCCAATTCAAAAATAAAAGAAAATAAAAAAAAAAAAAAAGGTATTAAATTAATTTAAATTTAATTTTTTATTTTGTGATCGATTTAAAAAATAATGGAAATTATTTAAATAAAATTGATTCGAAAGTTTTAATAAAAGTTTAATAATTTCATTTGTATAAAGTTTATGGAGCAGAAGAAAAGCAGAAGTGATTTATATTTATTGTTAAAATTTTTTTTTTTTTTTTTGTGATGATTACGAGGAGTTGTAGTCAGTTAGTAGTCAGACATTACTCGATGATTTTGTAAAAAAAAATTGTTGTTAATTCGAATTGCATCAGACTAATTTTTTTTTTAAATTGTGAGATATATTTAGTGATACATAAAAATATATGTAAATAATAATAATAGTAGTAATGATGATGATAATAATAATAATAAAAATACTTATTTTGTCAGTTGTAATTAGAGAGAGGGCTTTTAGAGGAAAAAAAGGTGGATATTGGAATAGGTAGGGGAGATTGTAAACTATACTAAACAAACTGTTGTTGTAAATTATTGTATAAAAAGTTTGTTTGTTGATCTCATTTATAGACTACAATAATAAGAAAGTAAAAAAAAAAGAAAAAAAAAAAAAAATTTGACAATACATTTGCTTATTTATTTTGTGTATCATATAGACAATAATTTATCTTATGATCCAGTTATTATTAATTAATTAATTTCAAAGTAATTTAAAAAAATTTTTTTTATTTATTTATTTAGTTGAAATTGCCAAAAAAAAATTTTCATCATTTTTTTCATATCCGATATGAATTTGTAGGAAAAATAATTTTGATATAATGGGAGGGGGTAGGGGGAGGAGGAGGGGGGAAAAAGAAAAAAAACATTAGCTGGACTAAATATTTTTTTTTTTTTTTTTTCCTTTTAAAAAAATTAATTTTTGAATGTTTGAAAAAGAAAAAAAAGAAGGATTTGGTAAAATTTAAATTTAGTTTTTTTTTTTTTTAAAGGGATCATAAGATGAGTTATTAGTTTTGTTTAAAAAAAAAGTTTTTTTTTTAGACAAAAATTAAGTTAAATAGAAATTATTAACAAAAAAAAAAAATTTGTTTACCTGTTTCTAAAAAAAAGAAATAGGATTTTGTTAGTATTGTTTTTTTCTTTAGCCAAAAAAAAAAAAAAATTGAAATTAAAAATAAAAAGCTCAATAATTAATGAAAAAAAAAAAAAGACCTTGTAAAAAAAAAAAATTGAAATTTCTTTTATTATAATTTAAAATTCAATTTTTTTTTGTTTTATGCTTGATTTTTTTTTTTTTTTTTTTTTTTTTGGCTAAAGGGAAAAGAACAAGAAAATTACAGGTATAAAAAAAAAAAAAAAAAGTTAAATAAAATTAATATTATTATTATTATTATTATTATTATTATTATTATAAAAATTGTGATCTTAATATTTAAGTGTTTTTGTTTGTTTTTTTTTTTATTTTTTTTATTAGACTGTGTTTCTATAAATTGTGTGCATTTTAATGCAAAACTAAAAAAAAAATTAATTGCGTTTACCTCAATCAGTTTAATTTGAATAATAATAATAATAATAATTTTTTTTTTTTTCGTTGCTTTTCGGCACATATAAAAAGAGGGTAAAAAATTAAAAAAAAAAATAAAATAAAAAATTATTAAATTTATTGTTTTGTTTTGTTTTTTAACGATAACCCCTCCCCCCAATTTAAATATATTCCTTTCGAATTAATTAAAAGTTTTCGTGTAAGAAAAACTAAAAGTGATGATTGAAAAAAGATGGCGGAATTGAAGAAAATGGAGGTAATTATATTATTTATTAACGGTTTTTAAAGTAAATTTTTTAAATTTTATTTTGACATATTTGTTTCATTTTAATAATTTGATGAATATAAACACAAAATTACTTTAAATTTCATTATTTGAATTCATATTATTATTATTTAATATTATTTAGTTATTGTTTTTACCATCTAAGCATTTAATAAATATTTCTATTAAATAAATAAATAATTCTTTTATTAAAAGTATGAATTTAATTAAAATTATTATTTTATTTTGTCGGACTGATAAGAATTATTTTTATTTATTTACTCGCAGGAAGAAAGTATTTTATCATAAGATTTTGTTATTAGTCATATAAATTTTTATATTGAAGTTTAGATGTTGTTCGACCGCCATTGAAGTCAGCTGTGTCGTACATTTAGTTTCAAACATGGCGGACAAAGAAGTTAAGTAAGTAATAATTTCAAATTATTTATTCATTATTTGTTGAATTTTATAAAGTTTAAAGACATTTTTAATCGATATTTTTGTCTTTTTAATGATTTAAATTAATATTTAACTTTGATTTCGTGTATTGTTTAATATTTTTCTAATATTATCACATTGTCAATGTGAACATTGACAAGAGGTTTCAATTACCTCTTGCCTGATTTTTAAAACAATTTAAATTATAAATTATGGATGATTAGTTAAATACTATTGAAAATATTATATCCGTGCAACTTAAAACCGTATTATATCCGTTACATTACACTAATTTTAACCTAAAAGAATTCTATATTTTAAACAAAAACCTAAATTTTTTGTATTTTTTTTCAATAGAAATAATTGCCTAAATCTTGTGGCTGATTGTTGCAATTACAAATTACCTGATTTTGAAAAATTTCCATTTTTTATAACTCATTCGATTCATAAAAAATTTCCATCTTTTCTTCCTGAAGCTTATACACCATTGGATGAAGGGTACAGAATTTAAATTACACTAGTTGTTAATATTTTTAGTTAAATTCATTTTTAAGATGATAATATAATTATCGAATTAATAATTTTTTTGATATTATTTTTAAAGATTCTTTTATTTATTGACATTCGATAAATTTATTTTCCAGGATTGAATGCAAGATAAAAAAAAAAATTCAAAAATGTTTAATTGCTCCTCGTCCTGTTTGTAAAAATCCTCCTCTTCAACCATCAATGTTATGCCAATTTACTCCTTTACCTGTCGGGTATGATTATGAATGTTTATAATCATTTTCTTATTACTTTTACCAGAATCCATAATTATTTTAAATAATAAAAAATATTTATTACTTCTAAGTAGTGTTAAAATGTTAGCAAATCTATTTTTAAAAAAAAAAAAATATTTGTTAACTTTACGAGTATTTCAATGATTCATATAACTGTTAACGAAATTGCTTTTATCGAAACTTGTTTTATTAATATTATAAATTTATTTTCCTGTTATTTAATTTATGTTAAGTTACCAAACTATTTATTTGTTATTTTTAAATGAAATAATAATTCTTATAAAAGAAAATATTAAAACATGTTAGGTTTATTGAATTTTTAGAAAGAAAAAAAAAACATATGTTGTTTAAATTAGAGATTAGTATTCACCTTTAAGATAAGTTAATTTTTGTTTGAGAACTATTGTTCGAATGGAAAAATTTTTTATCGACAAAACTACTTAACAAATTAAAAAATGTTTTAAATTCTAGGTGATTTAAATTTTATCATATTTTTTTTGAATTAACCACTGAAAAATTTAATCTGGCAATATTTATTAACGATTATTTAAAAAAATTTAGTAATAAATCATTTTACAATTGATAAAAAACTACTTTTAAATGTTTTTTTTTTTAAAATGATAAGAAGAAGGTTCGAGAAAATAAATGCAATAAAATAAATTTTTCTTTTTTTTTTTTTTCTCTCCATACCAGGGCTTATTTTTCAATGGGTGATAATTCATTAAAAGTCCCCATGATTTTATTTGCGGAAAATCGTAAAAGATTATGCAAGAAACTTATGGAAAATGAAAATATTCCAAAAGGTTCTGTCGTTTTATTACAAGGAGGAGATTCGATAAATCATTACAATACCGACGTAGAATATGTTTTCCGTCAGGAACCTTTTTTCAATTGGACATTCGGTGTACGCGAACCTGGATGTTATGGTGCCATAGTTGTAGATAAGGGTGAAAGCATACTTTTTGTACCACGTCTTCCGGACGTATATGCGACTTGGTGCGGTCCATTAAAAACTTTATGCGAATTCAAACAATTGTACGAAACGGATAGAGTCACTTATGTGGATCAGGTGAGTTTTTTTTTTTCAATTAATTTTTTCGCTTTTCCATTACTTTGCAAACGTTCCTTTAAGTATCGTCGTTGTCGTGAAAATCTGGAAAATCTTTCGTATAGAATTTTTTTTTTTGAGTTTCGATGATGGCAAAAGAGTTTTAAATAAATTTCCCTCCTCCTCGGTTGTTGTTGTTGTTGTCGTCGTGTGACACCATCACCATCACGTTCGTTCAATACGTAATAAACGGTTTTTTTATCATCTTGAAATAATTTTTATTATGATTTAACATGGCGAATAATAGTAATAATAGATAAAATTACGAAATCGGTAAATACATTCGAATTTTTAAAAAATTATCTTCTGTAATTATTCTTACGAGAGAGAGAGAGAGAGAGTAACGTTACACTCACCTTGACCAATATTTGTTGTGTTTTCATTTTTTTTTTTTTTTTACCTAATTTGTTTCTTTTATTCGAAATCGTGTTTCCAAATGAAAATTTTGTACTTTAAACACATTCAAAAAAGAAAATTAAAAAGTTTTTCGTTAAAAAATATTTTCTATAAATTTGAAAAATCGTTTGTTTTGTTTAAACCGCCACAAATTAAAAAAAAAAAAAAAAATAATAATAATAATGAAGGAATATTTAATACGTTAAAGAATAGGCAATGTTGTTGTTGTTGTTGTTGTGAACCTTTGTGAAAGTTCGTTAAAAGGATGTTTTTTTAGAAAATTTAAGAAATAATAGTAATAATAATAATAATAATAATTCAGATGGTTTTTGCAACCTTAAGCTAGAAAAGAAAAAAAAAATTGATTTGTTGTTTCATAGCGAATTGTTGTTTTTGTTGTTGTTGTTGTTGTTGTTGTACATGCAAGTCGATTGAGATTTTTTTTCATTTTTTTTTAATTTCTTGTTTAACTGTTTTAGTTGCCAGTGTGTGCGAATTTAGCACACTTTAAAAATAAAAAAAATAAAAACAAACGCACGTGAATTATCGTTTTTATTCATTGACGATGAAAACAAACAAACAAACAAACGTTTTTATTGCAAAAAAAAAAATTGTTTTTCTTTCTTTTTTTATTAATGCCATGCTTCTAATTAAACGCGTTGTTGTTTTTCATTTAACAAACTTATCGTTTATCGTAAAATTGCGATGTTACGGTTTAAAAAAAAAAAAAAATTTTCTTTATTTTCTCTCTCTCTCTCTCTCCCTCTCCCTCTCTTTCTCGTTAGTTTTTTAAATTTTTTATTTTTTTTGGGGGAGGGGGGGCGGGTTTAACGCGGATCCTTGGGTTTTTATGATGCGATCAAATTTGTTGGATTCGGGATTAGAATTGGAAAATTATTACGAAACATTGATTCATCATTAACTGAATTTTTTCCATTGAATTCGAACGAAGGATTTATCGTCCCCCTTCCCCTTCTCTCTCCCCCCTCCTCCCCCCCCACGATACAAAGATGAGAAAAAATCGATTGTAAAAAAAAAATATAAAACGTAAACGTGAGATCGTGATTTTTAATAAACGAGTTTGAGTTTTTTTTTCTTCTAAAAATTCATTGTCGAAAGTGAAAGTAACGTAAAAAAAAAAAAAATGATTTTACCCTTAATCGACCGTATAAAAATTCCAATTTTTTTCTATTCCCCTCCTCCCCCCCCACAAAAAATGGCAAAAGCTTAATTACTGTCAAAAAAAAAAAAAAAAAAAGTCGAAAACTCATTCGATGACCTTTGACTCGTGACTACGTCATATTTTACTTTCTCTCATGTCGTCGTCGTCACTAATAAAAATGCAAAATATTAATTTGTGAAAATTATTTATTTATTTAATTTAATTAAAACGGGGAGGGGTAAAGGGGGGCAAATCGTTTAAACCGCGGTAATCTCTTGAAAATCTTATCGTTATTATTAAAAATAATGATGATGATGATGATGATGATATGAAACGCGAATCGTGGAATGAAGGAAATAAAAACAAAACAAAGAAAAACAATTTTTTTTTTTTTTTGTGGGGCGGGGGGGTCTTACACGGTAGAAAGTTTTTTTTTTTTTTTTTTTTTTTTTCTCTTCTGCTACAAATGACGTAACGATAAGTTAAAAATTTATAATATTCGTTACGGTTTGCTTTAGAAATTTATTATTATAAATTGAAAAAAAAACGAATTTTTTTATTAGAAGTTGTTGTTGTTTTAAGAAGATGAACAAAACGACAACAACAAAACAACAAAACAAAATAACAATAAAAACAACAACAATAATAATAATAATAATAATGATAATGATAATAACGTGAACGATTCAATTTATTTTTTTTTCATTCGAAGGTAAGGCTTACGTGATTGTTTCTTTAACAATTTTATGACGTTTATAAAATGGCGCGAGTATAAAGTTTTTCTTTTTTTTTTTTTTTCTCGTTGGAAATTTTCCCTTTGGAAAATCGACAAGCGCCCCGATTTTTTTTTTTTTTTTGTTGCATTGAAAAGAGCATTGGGACGTTGTCAAGACTATATTTTAAAAGTAATTAATTTGTTTTTTGTGTCTCTTTTTCTTTTTCGCGAATCGAAGGTGTTTCCCCATCCCGCCCCCCCCCCACACCCCCCATTCCGGCGATCGATTCTTTTAAATGTTGATCGAGTTTTTATCGCGTAAAAAAAATCTGACCCGAAATTTTTAAAAGTTTTTCCTAGTCTTGTAAACGTGATTTGTTGTTGTTACCCTTAAAAAAAAAATTTCTCTCTCTTTTTTCGTTTTCCCCTTTGGAAAGAAACCCTTTCGGGGGTTGTTTTTTTTTCTAATTATTAGTGTTTACGATTGTTGGGATTCAACGATCAATTTAAAATCGGATAAGCTCTTTTTTCGAAAAAAAAAATTAAAAAAACAAAAATTTCAAAGCTTACAAAAAAGCCGCGAGGTTTAATTCAATAAAATTAAATCGTTTGACGTTAAAATTAATTAAATACAAAAAAATGGCAAACATTATCACGACTCGTTGTTTTGTTACGTTTTTTTTTTTTTTTTTTGGGGGGGGGGGGGGGGGAACTTGTTTTTTTTTTTTTTTACCTAATTTTAATTTGTTTGTTTGTTTTTTTTGTTTATTATTATTATTATTATTATTATTATTATTATTATTATTATTATTTTTTGGATAGGGAGAAAGAGAGAGTTTTTTGTAGTTTGCATTTTGTTTTCCTTTTGTGATTTTCGTAACGCGAATGAGGATTTCATTAAAATATTTTCAAATAAACAAAAAGGTTTAAGGTAAAAAGGTTGTCACGATGGAAAATTATCCGGGAGAAAAATTTTTTTAATGGTGGAAAAGGAGGGGGGGAAGGAAAAAAGGAAAACAACAAAAATGAATTTGGCTTTTGACTTTTCATCGTTAATTTTTATAATTTTTTTTTTTTTTGGTATTTTATCGAATATTTCGTTTGGTTTGGTTCAACCCCCACCTCCCTCCCCCCTTATAGTAAACATTTGGCAGTTATTGCTTTTGTTCGATTCACGGTGTAATAAATAATAGGTGGGAAAAAAAAAACTTTCAAAAAGGTTCGGTTCGATTCGTAGGTCTGTTTGTTTCTATTCGCCTCCCCTCGAAATTAACGAGAAAATTGTTTTTAAATTTAAAAAAAAAAACAAAGTGAAAATGTGTGGTGGGGGGGGGGGGTAAATAACGCATTTTTGCTGCCGTTCAAAATTTTTCGAGAAAGAAAAGAGGAAAAAAAAAAAAAATGATATTTTAAGATTCTGCGAACCCGACTTATTTACATGTCGTTATTAAGTTAAGCTTTATCGATTTAACGTACATTCGTACGTTTACCGAATTCGAGAATTTAAAACGTACAATTTTGAAAAGGGGGGATGGGGGGGAATAATACGTAGGGAAATGAGGGCGGATTAAAAAAAGAAAAGGAAAATTTTTAAATTCGATTTCGGGGGGTGGGAAAAAAAGAAAAAAATTGAGTTTTCCATAATCGGTAAAGTTTTTTCATCTTTCTTTTCTCTTCTTTTAACGTATGCCTTAAGGCCCCCCAAAAGAACTCAAATTAATTTTTTGATTCGATGTGATAAAGCGTCGTAAAGAAATAAAGGAAAATTTTAACGGAGGGGGAAAAGGGGGAGGGGGAGGAAGAAAAGTAAACGGGAAAAAATTATTTATTTACATTTTCGTTTGTTTACATTACATTATTCTTACGGAAAATTAAAATACGAAATAGAAAACAACAAACAAACAAACAAACAGAGAGAGAGAGAGAAAGGAGGGGAGGGGAAGTGCGCGTGCGGTAAAAGAGAGAAATATATAAACAAAACAAAATTATTTCCACGCGCGTCGTACATCAGACAGACAGACAAACTGTTTTTTTTTAAATCCCGTAAACCCCCCCCCCCAAAAAAAAAAAAATCAATAATCTAAGTATAAATAATGTAAATTGTTACGATGAAAAACCGCTATAAATGAAAATAATAGGATAACCTTACGGTTATGGAAAAAAAAAAAAGGAAAAAAGGGAAAAAAGGTTTCACGGGGAGTAAATGAGGGGAAGAAAGGAGGAGGGGGGGTAGTAATATACCGAAAATAACCAGAAACTTAAAAAGTGTTTATCACGCAAGCCTAAGGTCGTCGACGTTTCGTTTCTAGGTCGAAAATATTTAAAATAAATTCGAAAATTTTTTATTTTTATTTTTTTGTTCCATTCCTTTTTTACCACTTTTCTCTCTCTCTCTCTCTCACTCACTCGTAATTTCAATCGATAAAAAAAGAAAAGTTTTTCGAAAGAGAGATAAAGTGGGGGGACGGGGGTTTTAAAATGCTTACTCGATTCTTTCCTTTCGTACCGGTGATGATTGATGTTTGAAAGAAAAGGATAGGAAAAAGGAAAGAAGAGGAAGTGGTGTGTGAGGGTAGAGAGAAAAAAGCAAACGAAAGCAGAAAAAAGAGAGAGAAAATGGTGGAAAATGGAAAAGGGAAAAAAAAACGTCGAAAGACATTTAAAGAAAGAAAAATGGAAAATTTTTTA